TTTAACCTCAAACCTTCCCGCGCCTCCCCGAACTGCCACGTGTCCATGACCAGTGGGCAAATGGTCAGAGCGGGTGAACGTGAAGAGTACAGATCCCGGTTGTCCCCCCTTGCCATTGGCTGCGCTGTCCTACTACGGTACCTACGGTACCTACCTGAGAGAGGCTGAGGCTACGGTACCTCTCTAGCCTAGGCCAGGGGATTGAATACCGTAGAGGCGATGATGTGCAAACTAGGTACATACCGTACCAACACGCCGGTTGGGCAGATTTTTGCCCAATAATTAATTTCGATTGATAATGGACGTTTGAAAATTTGGGCAACTCGTTTTGGAATTTTTGAGAGATTTGGGCAACTCTGCATTTATTGCGGAATCCCTTCTTCTACCACTCAAATCTCATCAAAAAAGAAAAATAGAATTTTGAACCATTTGAAACATTGGGCAGAGTGGGTCGGAATATATCAAAATATTGGGCAAATTGTCAAAATTATTAATTTCTGCCCAACCGGCGTGTTGGTACGGTACACCCGTAGGATAGTACATTGCATGGAACTGCCATTGCGGGGCGCAACGCGGAAAGAGAAGGGATCAAAACAAGTTCTTCGTTCAGAGTGATGCAACAGTGCCAACACTCGATGACAGGAGCTCTCTCGCTTTCCATCGCTTCCCCTCGGATATGTAGCTGACCCCAACTAATACTGGAAGAGCTCATTCAAATTCTGGAGCTGCAATGGGTTATACTGCGCAGGACTTGTTCAAGACTAAGATATGCGAGTACTACAAGGAAGGACGTTGTCCACGTGAAAAATGTACCTTTGCTCACGGTGAAGCGGAGCTCAGAAGGCTCCCTCCCCAGAGAGGTATGCCATTTTAGTTGAGCTGCAATGAAGATGGTTGTCAATTCAGCGGTAGGATTCTATGCTCTGCCTGGATGCACCTCTGCTGGAATCAACATCTCGATCTTCTCATGGTTAGAGCAACCTTTTGTTTGGGGCTGATGATGTGAGAACGTGTGCTTACTGCCAAACCTCTTCCCTTACTACAGGTTCATCTCATGTATTGACCTATATGAATCTTCCTGGCGCAACACTGTTTGTTATTTTGGACACCACGATCTTATATTTAGGATCTGATACTCAGGGAGAGGTTACGACCAGTGGAGGGGTCCCCTTCCAGGTCATCTGGACAGGAGAGGTCCCAGACAGTATTCTCCAAGACCTAGGTCACGAACTCCACCCGACTACCGAGGTTGGTGTTAGATCATGCCCTGTTCCTGCCTTATAGATTGAAGGGGAGTTCTCAAGCGGTTGGTTTGTACAGTTGAGCCTGAACTTTGACATGTCCATATTAACTTCAATACCTTGAGTCTGCAGAATTCCACAGCCTCGAATATCCAGACAAAGCATTATGCATCAAACCCCCAGTACTTTGTTGGATGTTGCTATGCAGGACTCTTATCAACATGCCCAATGCAGGACTCCTATTGGAGAGCTCAAAGAAGGATCTTTCGATCAAACAGGCAAACCTGAAGATGGTTTTTCTTGAACAATTATGGCGGCCTTTGCGTTAAGTAGCTCATTCGTGCTGTTTGTACGAGTGGTAAGGACTTGTCAGCAAGTGGAAGCTCAGCTTGCTTATGCACTCTCAGGAAACCTTCGGGAGAGGCTTTTCATGGTGCATTATGCACTTTATGTAGCTGAGCTGCTGAGGGCCTGCTGGGAAGTTCTGTACTTTTTGAAGGGTAGAAAGATTTGAATCTCATCCTCTTTTCCAGCAGATACCAATGGTCGCTGGGAACCACGCGCTCCCTTAGCGGAACGCCTTGGAGACAGGCGGCCACTCAGGCGCTCAGGGACACCAGGTTCTCCTTCCAGGCAGGTGGTCCTGGGCTCAGGCCCCTCCCATGTTAAGCAGCATGGCATTCTGCAGGCCTTGGAGAACTGGTGCCTCTAGAGTCTAGATTCTTGTTGGATTCAAGTTCCAGGAGATCAAAGAATTCAGGTAAAGTCGGTCTTTTGCTGCAGGTAGTTGAATGGCAGCCAGCGTCCTTTTCACAGCACTTTCATTCTTTCTACGCAGCCGAGAGCCCTCCCCTAAGCGTGCTCGAGTGGATGCCAGCCCGGATGCTCCCAGACACTCTTCTAGCAACGAGGGGCGGGGAAGAGAGCGGGACAGCGAGCGGGATGAGGACTCACATGAGAACGAGCGCGAGCGTGAGCGCGAGCGCGAGCGCGAGCGTGAGCGCGAGCGCTCTGCATCTCCTCAGCGGTCTCAGTCTCCCCTCAATGATGCTCGGCACGCGCAGCTTGCAAAGAGGGTAGGTGGCTAGGGTGACCCTTCTTGCAGCTGATGAACGAAGAAGTGTCCGCCTCTTTCATGCCACTGGAAGGAGCGCTACGTTGCCTGCTGCCATCTCAAATTGCAGATGAGGTCTTGTCGCTTCCCAGAGTTACCTTGTACTTGATTCTCGATCGCAGAAGACTGACACCCCCTGCTTGAAGAAGCTGGTCTACTTTCTCTTTGCCTACAGTGATCGCTCAATCGTAATATTAATCCTGTCTTGCGGATTGCCTGTGCAGCTTGCAGAGGAGAGAGCGGCCAATGAGGAGTTGGAGGCTAAGTTGGCTGCCTACGAGGATATCCGCTCGGAGCTTCCTGAGTTGCAAGCAGAGAATGAGCGCCTAACAAAGATCAACATGGCGCAGAAAGAGAAGCTGGAGATCATGCAGGTGTGCGATTGGCCTCCAGATTCCTCATCTGGTCACCGGAGCAATATCGTTATTGCTGGCCAGAGTATGCAAACAAACCTCCGTGTGTGCTATGGTTCATCTGAAAGCGGCACCACTACTGGGAACTATATATGTACTCCAGAGGCTTGAACTTCAAGGCCGTGATTTGGAGGCAAAGGAGTTGCAAAAGGGCTAGGGAGATACTGTTGAAGGATGCAGCCACCTTCACAATTGTCACTTATGGGAGACTACTACAGCAATAATCCCATTCAGGGCCCAATTGCTTTCAATTCCTGCTCACTCAGGTAAGTAGCCTTCATAGTGGTTAGCCTTTCATTAATTCAGCTTAGGCAATGAAGATCTGCTGGGGGTCATGACACAGGTTTTTCTGGTGGTGGCAGTCTCGTCTGCCAGGAGAGCCTTGAGATAGGTCAAAGCTTGTCTATTCACCACTTTGGGAGCACTCCAGTGCATGTTTTGTAGCGGGTATTGTCCTCTTTCAGACGTGTACTTGGGCAGGCCTGTTGGTTTCGCAGGATACTGCTCCCAGCTTTTTGCTGTGGACAGTTTGACGCCTCTGCAAAATCACCTGACACAAACGTTCTAGTATGTTGTATAGACTGTCTGCTGGACATATTCGGTGGCAATGCTGAGCACTTAGAGGCAGACGGTGTGTTTGCAGGACTTGGTCGACAGAAAGAACAGGGACATTGTGGAGAAGGACATCAAGCTGGCCAAGCTCCAGAAACGGTCAAAGGCCGCGGAGGACAACACGTGGTGGGTCTCCCCGTAGTCCCCACCCCCCCACCAGGCCAGACTACTGAATCCATTGTATCTGAGACTCTGGCATGTACTGCAGGGGTTCTGAGCAACCTTCTTCTTCGCAAGGTGACTTTTGATCTAGATATAAAGAGACGTGAGGGGCGAAGTCAGAGTAACAAAAGACGTCAGCAAGGGTCCAGGGGCGGCGCTGCTGTGATGTGGCTGATCCATCCCGTCTTCCTGGTGGTGCAGGGCGGTCGGGCAGTTGAAGAAGCTGGCCAAGGCTGACCAGCAAAAGAGATTGTAAGCCATCAGTACTGCCTTATGCAGAAAGTTCTGGTTGACAAGCCTTGTATCTCGTTGGCATCCCTGTTATCAGTTTAACCCTTGTTTGAAACACTCGCTCTTGAAAGTTCACCATTTTACTCTTCATTTGAAAGTGTGGTTCCTAATCGGGTTCCACGTGCTCGTACCTTCATCGTGGTCTGCCATGTTGCATTCACCACCATTTGCTTATGCAATTGATTGATCTGCAACTCCCAGGGCTGAGCAGCAGTACCGGCAGCTGCTGGACGAGGCCCTTGAGGTGCTGCGCGATCACCCCGCCCTGGTCGACGACGGCGCCGACGTGTTCGCCATCCCAAAAGCGGACGGCCTCCGCCTGGAGGGGCGGCAGAAGGCAGACCACGGCCCCGGGGCGAACGGCACCCTCGAGGAGAAGACCCGCAGGGCGGCAATTGTGGAGAAGTCCCCGATCAAAAACACGGAACCCCCAAACCACGAGATGCGGTCGCCGAACGCTATGGTGCTGCGAGAGAGGGGTCACGAGGGGGACGGTGATCCGCCGCTAACGCGAGAGGGTTCCGGTCGGTTGTGGCGGGCGGGGGCCAGACCGTATGGGGGGGGCCAGGCGAGGGGCGACGCCTGGGACGTTGCCAAAGGGGACGAGGATGGGGCGGCGAACAAGGGGGAGGCCGGCCTGGCGAAATACCCGGCAGATATGGAGAGGCTGACACGGAAGGTCCAGACCGCAGCACAGAGCGAGGTGGGAGGGGGCTTCTTCAAAACCCCGGCGAATGTGGTGCGCAATACCAAGCGCTTTGAGGAAGCTAGCGGCTTGGGCCCGGGGGCCAGGGGGAGAGGGGGGGCGACTGAGAAGGCACCGGCGGAGGAGCGCGCCACTGCTACCAATGGAGGGAGGTCGCCGCCGGAGGCGGGAGAGTACACGGAGACGGCCAAGGAGGAGTTCCGGAACATGGCGTATCCTATGCCCATTGTAAAGGACACGGTCATGCAAGTGAGTTGGACGGACCCGCTAAATCCACCATCCGTTTTCACAACGTCCTGAGGACGCGTTTGACGTCTGCATGGTGTTCTAGATTGTCGTAGTCCCCATCGGCTCCACATGTGAAGCGGGAACTGGAAGGGAAGGCGAAGGTTTGTAAAAGTAGAAGCAAGGCTTTGGTTCTTTTCCAAAAGGTGGCTCAGAAGTTGCTAGGCACTTTCTTGACGATGATTTCCGAATATGTGCTCTGGTCTCCTTGCAGGCATGTTATGAAGAGACTTCCGAGGCCGTCAATATCGGATAGGGCTGCCCCTTGAGTAGCTTCTCAGAGGCAAGAGACGAATGAAATGGTTCGGTTGAATGAATCTAGCGAGATGGCAACTCGAAAAGAGTTGTCGAGGACCAACTCTTAGAAAGCAGGTGCAGGGAGTGTCCATGCAATCTCGTGGGATCAGCGCAAGAGTGCTGGTTCAACAATACACGAGTATGTATTCACTTAACTTTATGTTACACCCTGGCGGATCCGAGTGTCGGCAGCTTGTGGAACTTCGGATAGTACATCAATAGTTGCGTACAGTGGTAAGGACTGTGTTGGGTACAGGGCCAGGCAGGAGGGAGCGCTTTCTGAACCTGTGAAAACTTGGAACACAACTGGAGTTGCTCTTGTTGGATACTGATATGTCCAAAGGAGAGACGCGTGTATTCAACGCCATGCATGATCAACTCCTTTTATGAGGATTAAGTTTTAGAGTTCGAAGCCGCATGGGGTACATGTGCCGCAAGGGACAATCAAATGTTTCTGAGATCGTGGGTATGACGTGAGGCTGTTGTGACTTGTCCGATCGAACGTCGACGGTTGCATGATCGTGATTGGGAGGACAAGATGTATTTATGCTGTTGCTGCCAGTAGATTTTAAGCATGCAAATTACTGCGCAGTTCTAGACCGTAGCGTCGGTATGCATATGGTGTGTATTGAGACTTTCTATTATCCGATATATAAGCATTTTTGTTCTGCAAATATGAAGACATGCTGTGCAAACCTCACATGTGCTCATGCCCGCGGCCGCCCATGCGAAGCGTAGCTATATGGCTTATCTGACTATATCGCGAGCTTGAAAAGAGATCGACTCATTATCCATCCGCACCGCAATTTTGTTCGCGGACTCACCGTCGCATGTTTGGACAAAGTCAAGATGCACATTGTCGCTCGGAGTCGTCTCGTGAGCGCTCATGCATGTCAGGATAACGTACTGATGTACTGAAAGTTTGCCATGGACGGTTCCTTTTCAAAGCTCAAGACTTGCCCTCTAGCAATATACAGCGACACATGACGGCCGACCCGAAATCCTAGTGAGTCGCAAGCAAAGGAATGGGCAACTCGCCATGCGTGAAGAAAGACGTGGCCCACGTTCGTCCAGTAACGTACAGGCAATACATGCTTGCTCAAATCTGGCGCCTGACAGGCCGTGAACGTTTTCAGAATATACACAATTCAAGCCAGCTGAGCTGACTAGCGCAAGATAAAGTTGATCCCAGCAAGACAAAAACAGGCGCGGCAGTTCCTGTGGGCCATGTATCTGCTTCTGCAATGCTGCAAGGAGATTCAATTCAGAGAGTTCCAGATCAGCACGCACGGTCAGTTCAGCGTACCGCACCCTACCCCTGTAGCTGCCATTTATTCCCCAGGGTGCCTTCTCAAAGGAGGGCAGCCACTTTCCCAAGTAATGGCTTCTCCCGTAGAGCCCTTTGGCTCGCCGGCTTGCAGCAGAGGGGGAAGCACGCGTCGGCTGCTCCATGGCCAACGAAGCCCACCACAAAGTCCGCGTCCTTCTCTAGTTGTTTCGCGTACGCCCTCACCTGCGCCTGCAAGATCGATCCGCTGACCCGTTACAAGCCAGCTTAGCAACAGAATATTGGACAATCAGAGTTTTTGGAGACCACAAGATACCACAACTTGATCATCCGCGAACAGTGGCATAAAGTTGTGCGAAATTTCTGAAAGAACCGTGGATTGCATTAACAGCTTGGGCTGTTCTCATGTTGGCCCACCGAAAGACGCATCGTGGCGGCGTTCTCCAAGTCCTTATGCTTTACTCTATTCTACGTTCCTCATGACCCCAAGAAGCAGACGAGCCGAAGGGTATCGCGCATGCGGAGACCAGAGCCGGCATCAATCTCACCTCGACGTCGCCCTTGGTGAGAGCGTCCCGGATGGCGGCCTCATGCCCGTCCATCCAGAAGTCGGGTGCGTCTACGGGGACGACGCCCGGGAGGTAGCCAACCGAGCACTTGTGGGCGTCGAAGATCTGCTGCAGCCGCAATTCCAGAACGGCCTCCGCCTCGTTCCGCGTGCTGCCGTCGTACAGCGACTGTACAGGCAGCCCGGAACGGATGCTTCAATGTTGAAACAACTTATTTTCATGCCTATCTTTCATAGGATGCCTCATACCTAAACATTGAAGTAGTGCTTCCGTCGTACAGGGACTGTCCCTGTACAAAAAGTGCATGACGGAGGCTTTTAGTCGCACCTTTTCAGGGCCAGTCTGGCGCTTCCTAGCGGCCAGGAAGCGCACACACGCACCGGGGGGAAAGGGACTACGATGAAGCAGGTAATGTTTGGACGAAGCCGTCCCTCTCCGAAATCCTTTACAGGAGGGAGACGGAAACGGGGATGGTGTGACACCTTTCAGCCCAGCACCTGTCCTATGAGCGCTCTCGTCAGAAGAACTGCCAAGAACCTTCCAAAGTTGCGGAAGGAACGAACCGTTCTTAAGTTAGAGCGTTCAGGAGCGGAACCGCCACAATTCCCGCTCACAAGGCCGGAATGCTCCATTCTTACGTTAAGAGCTGCACACTCGTCTGCAGTTATCATCCCCCCTCGTCTCAAAATTGTCAACGACTTTGAAGCCAAAGGAGAGCGGCTCACCCGTACGAGCTCCTCCGTCGCCTGCAGCACCCAGGTCCCGATCGGCGTGACCACGAGGTGCACGTGGCCCCGGCCCCCCGGGCGGAGGTTGGATTCTCGGGCGACCCCCAGCAGGTCCGCAGTGGAGGGCAGATTGGGCCACGAGTCGGCCAAAATGGCGTGCGAGTGCCACGAGAAGGGGTCCTCTGCAACCTGGGGGGAGAAAACAAGCACCAAGCATCAGCGAAGAGCTCTTCTTGCTCGTTCTTGGCTCGGTGCAAACTTCCTTGTTTCACAGTCTGTTGTTTCAGCCATAACAAACACTTGCGAGATCGGCTCTCTCTGGAGAAAAGGGTAACACCTAATCTTTTGGATTCTAAGAGCAGTAGTAGGTCTGGAAAACTCAAGCAGCAGAGCCGGAGAGGAGGTTTGGAAGTCGTCACAGAAGCACTGAGTGCAATCTGAGTCCGAACATGATCCACATTCTTTACAAGGAGCAGACTTGTTTATGGGGGACACCTACAATGTCCTGAGAAGATGGTGAAGCCGTGGAAGCGCCTCAAGTTGCAACACAAGCCTACCAATCTGAGGGCAAGAGAACACTCAGGGAGCAGGTACTTACAGAAGCAACCCTGTGGACTGAAGTGACCCCAATGCTAGAAACACAAGCAGCACGGAAGCTGAAGGCTCTCACAAGCCTTTGCTTACCTGCACGTGGTCATGTGAGCCTCGGCCGACGCGCGATGGCACAATCCCTAACAAGGCCTCCCCCTTGTTGCCAGTCCCGCGGTGCTTCAAAATGCCACCCCACTCACACTCCTGAAACGCGGCCGCACCACCAACTGCTTCCAGCAAATTAGCATAGAAAGTGCTGCCGTGCAGCCGCATGCGCTTCCACGTGGCGCCGTCCAATCTACTCCTCTCTAGCTCCGCTGCGCTCCACTCGCCAACGACGCAGCTAATTGTAGGAAGCGGGAGGCAGTCGGATGAGCTGTCGGAAATGCAGACGACCTCAGCACCGTATTGCAACTTGCAAACGCTTGATGCTGGTTGTGGCAAAGCTGGCTCAATCTTGACTCCAGAGACCTTTCGTCTCTTAACACAGCGATCTCTGTCGCCGTTCCGAGCTGCGATTCCGAGAAGCTTTCGGGCAGTTGGTCTCGCACGCTTTGCCAGCCTTGCACTTTTCCGCACCTCCACGCACTGTCCTGCAGCCCCCAACTGCTGTCCCCCAATTCTTCCAACCTTGCAGCTGACGGCCGAGACTTCTTCCAAGGCCTCCACATCAATGACTTGCGTGCCCCAGTCCTCAGCTCCTACTCCTTCCTCTCGAGCTTTGCCTAATTGAACCACCACTCCCGGGCCCCCTTCCACCAATTGCATTGGGACCTCAACACGCTTTACGGGTCGTTTGCTCAAACGCTCCCTCGTTTGACTGCCAAACTTGCGCCTCCTAGGACGGCCCTGCTGCCTCCGAGAGTCCATTCCTGTGACCTGCTTGTTGCCGTTCGTACTCTCTTTTCCCACTGCCGGCCGTCCTTCAACCGAGCAACTATTGGTCCCGCAGTTTGTCCGCGCTAAAGAAGCCCCTTTGCCGCCCTTCTTGACACCCAACCGCTTCTGCTGGCTGTGCTTGAGGCACATCGCTCTGTAGGGTTGCGCAAGAAAAGGGCACTGCCAGCCACTACCTGCGCGTCTGCTGCACTGACTCCCCTCCTGACTCCCCTCCCCGGCGGGGCACCCAGCTTTCTGCTGGCGGTCCGCAACGCTTGCTCCGTCCTCCAGCTTGCAAAAGACGACAACATGGGCCCCTTGGGCGCTCCCTAGATCTGCATGATCCTTCCTCTCAGTCGGCCTTCCCGAGGTTGTGGGCTCTTCAAACATGTCACTGAGCTTGCGAAGCCTTCGCCCCGGAAGGCCCTCAGAACCATTAGCCCGCACACGTTTCCTGGCCCGAGCCTCTGGGAAAGTGTTGAGGCCCACTGCTGGTGGATCTATGCAGGGAACGTTCTGCAGCCGCAGTTCCCGTCGGCTGGGGACATCCTCCGACTCAACCGCCTCACGAAACTTGTGGGCCAACATTTCAGACAGCTTTGAAGAATGACTAGCCGCGTGGCTTAACGTTGTAGTTTGTGACCTGGGAGAAGACAGAATGTGAGCTCAGTGAAGAAACTTAATCGACAAGACATCAAACAACATGTCTCTGTGTAAAGACTTTCTGATGGGAAGGAGGGACCCGGATACTAGTTTCTTCCAGGCGATAAAGCACTGGGCGGATCATAGCGAGACTGGGAACACAGCTCAGGGCGCGTAAGAAGCGATACCGCCCGTCAGAGTTTCTAATGTGCCCGGTCTTCTTGCCGAGAAATACCATCCGAAGCAACCAGACTTATGCAAACAGGTTCGAAGAATGTGGTGGAGGCAATCAACCAGAAGCCACTTGAAATGAACCTGACTTGAGTGGAACATATCATAGCTACAAGATAATGATAACGAGCTTTTATAACAGAGGGAATCTTAGCAGTCATTGTAGAACTCAGCGGGCCAACTTGTCTGTTGGCAACTGTGAGATGAGCGTTTGTGTCTGCAGAAGGAGATAAAGAAATCCCCATAGTGCTCTCGATGCAAGGGCACCACACTTATAATCCAGCTGCTTCATTAACCCTCGTGATCTGTCACCTAGTCACCTGGTCGCCCGGCCCGCCCGGATTTGCATTACATGGGCGACAGTTTTATTTTGCAGCCACTCCTTCAAAAGACCAGTCGCCAACATTTCTTCTTCAAATGATGCACAGTTCTTTCTTCAAGCCACCCTAATTTTGCAAAACCAAGTGCTTCAAGAGTCCAACGCCCACTTTGGGCAGTCTTACCTTGCGGGATGAGCAACCCCATCACTTGGGGATTGTCACCAACTACTGGCGGCAGAGATTGCATGGAAAAGCACTGTCGGGGAATCCAGGTGCCACTGATGCGTCCACGCTGCCTTGTGCTGCATAAGTCTAAGTCTAGAAATGTCTGGAGGTGCAATGGTACGAGAGCATTCAGGGCAACGTGCCAACTTCATCTACAGAGCTGCTATACTCAAGCGATCCACCACCCTGCAATGCACTTTAGCTTGTCGTGCCCCCGGTTGTGCCTTGTTATGCTAACAGACTTTATCTACAGCGCCCTAGAACCATTGAGGCCGGAGAAGGCAGACTGCAGACCTGTATTTCAAGGTGATGATAAAAGAGAGATGCGGATCAGTGCATGGTGACCTAGGACCAGGTAGTAGGTACTTCGTGCTTCGAAGTTCGCAGCACCGCCCAAATGCTCAGGTCGATCAGGGATCCCCTCAAGTATTAACGTAACCCGCCTTGGTTAAGACGCCTTGGTTAAGCAGTCTACCTACCTATCTACTCCAGCGCCGAGGCCCGTACTTGAATCCTAGCCAAATCTCCTTTGTGTGGGTTAAGGTAAACCACACTTTGCCCATTCAACAGTGGAAGTGCAGACGTTGCCGCGTTTGCTCGCGCGCAGGGCTAAATGTGGCCGGCAGTAGGGAGAAACAGAGAACAGTTTTGCATTTTGAAAGGCAACGTATGGCATAGTGCATGATGCAACAGATGAAATTCTGCAAAGGCCGAATTGCGAAGAGCAAAATGCCTTTGGCGTCAGAACAGCAGGTGCGAGCTGGAGCTCAGCAATCATGGGGCAATTCTTGATTGATCAGCTCAGATTTGCCAGACACCTGCGTCACCCTAAAGCAGTGTAGCACAACGAGGACCGCAAGACATTGCAAAAGCCTAAGTTAGTGAGGCCTGCAATCTACTGGGCTAATGTGAACAGCGGATTGGTAACCCCGTCAACGTCACTGATGTTCCTTCAAATGGCACAATGGGGGAGAAATGTAGTGCAATACATGTTGACTGAGACCGACAACCTGCCGGGCTGCCAGCTGGTAGGCAGCTGGAGGGCTGCATCTATTGACGGGCCGCTGAACGTGACAACATCAAACTTGATGCAATTAATATAAAGACCTAGCGTTCGACAGGGCCAGCTAGCAGGCGATGGGGGACTCGATCGCAAACGCATATCAAGGCCACCAGACAGTAGAGCTTCAAAGCCTGTTTGGTGGTTCTAGCAGCGGTGAATTGTCTCCAGAAATGCCGCACAAGGGGAATGCAGGGTGGACCGATCCCGCGTCAGAGCAGCTGAACGGGATTTGCAGCAGCTCTTCCAGGCCAGATCAGCTGGACGAGAATGCGACACTTGTCACCATCAGGAGCATCGAGCTGCTTCAGCGGAGCCTCTTGCGCGACGCTGGGTTTGCTGCGCTATGCTTGGCCTCCGGAGGTGTTGTTGCGCTGTTGTGCTACTGGCGAGCGTCGTGGTACGCTAAACTGAGGTTTACAAGAGTTGGGGCTGGGGATCAAGGCGCGTCGCATGTTCTGGTAGAGAGTTTGGATAGCCTATTCACTGTCTGCCCACTTGAAACAGCCCGGGTGGCGACTGGAGCCAAGCATGGCGCGAGGTGGACACAGAGTCTCCTCTCTGAGGTGGTAAGTAAACTTCCTCTCAGAGACATATGAGGCAGTGACACCCGTTTTTCTAGCCCGTCAACCACCAGCGGTAAGTGGGGAGTAGAACGGATCGGTATGAATGTCTAGGAATTGGAGACCAGCAACAGATAGCTGATGGTTTGACAGGCAACAAAGAATTGGCAACAAGCCACAGGACGCGAGGTGCTCCCTCCAGAGGTGGTGTCAACAACCAGTCTCTCAATACCCCTGCTGCAGGTTGGCAGTGCCAACGGCCCCTGTACGTTTGGGTGGCGCAATGAGCGCTTTTGGCAGACCCCGGGCGGGTGGTGCCGGCAGCGGCTGTCCCTCAAGCGCAGCTATGTGGATCTCCATGACCTGGCTGCACGGAACGCTATGCAACTGGGCCACAACTGGGAGCAAGGTACTGAACTCCACATACTGAACCCAGCCTTCTTGGGGCTATTGTGAAGTCAGGTCTGCCTAGTGCTCCTTGCTATCTCTCATAAAAGGATTTAGGTTTGTGCCTTTATTTTCGAGCTAGGGCAGTGGTCAGGAAGGTGTGCCCATGGGAGATTCTGTTTATGCTGTCTGCCATACCTCGAGTTCAATAAGGTCGCTGCTGTGAGGCTAACCTACAAACTCAAGGGAGTGAATGGGGTTCCGCTCTTGCAGGCGCCCAAGTTTGCACACCGGAGGCTCGGCGCTGGCTCACGTATGGGGACAACGTGCTGACAGTGGTAGTAACTCCGTTCATGTGAGCCAGTTGCGGCCACGCACGAAGTTTCATGGATCGACTGCACCGAATATCGTGTCTGAATACTGGGGCTCGAGAATTTGTGGCTTGGCATGCTTGGCTTACTCGTTTTCTGCAGATCCTGAGATGGTCAATACCGACTTGACTGAGTGAGGCGCGGTCTGTGCTGTGCAGCATTCTCCTGGTGCTGGAGTTCTTCAAGCCCTTCTTCATCTTCCAAGCTCTGGCTATCCTTATCTGGTGAGTGACGGGGGAGCGCAGCACATCATTGCAAGTTGTGAAATGCAATTGAATTTGAGTGTTGGATTGCACTTGGGTTTTGAAGGCACTCGTTCATGCAGAGCCGTTTGATTGAACTCGGAGTCGGCATGCTTTTGATACAAGGAAGTGCGAATCCACAATTGAGATAAAACTGAGTACATAATGGACTGACCCAACCCTGCTAGATTTCCGCCTTAGCGGACAGGGATTTGAGCTCTAAAAGCGCTTGCGTAGCTGCTGTTGACTTTTGTAAGCCGGGGTTTAAATATCAGCGCTACCTGGTCAAAGCTAGCGTGTTGTATATTTACAACCTCAAGAGACACACGTTTCGAAGTCTTGAGGTTTGGTACAGCCGATTGAGAGTTGTACTCTACTGGATACAGGTTCCTCCAGAAATACGTCGTCTACGCTTACGTTATCCTGGCCCTCACCATCAGCTCCGCGCTCTTCAACGCGTTCGAGTCGTGGCGCAACCTGCACGCCATCCAGAAGCTCGCGTCCTCCGAGTGCACCGTCCTGCGCGTCACCGCTCACGCCGATGGCGTCGACAAACCCCCGACGCTGCGCTCGGAGCGGGTCAAGTCGAGCCAGCTCATGCCGGGGGACCTCATCGAAGTAGTGCCCAGTATGATATTCCCCTGCGACTGCGTTCTGCTAACGGGGCAGGCCGTCATTAAGGAGGTGAGGGGACTAGTGAGGTACCGCTAGTTGCATTGCGCAGGATCGCGCTGGATTTGTCGGCGTTCGACAGTGCACGAGCCATCTTTGCGACCGCGTTTGGTGATCTGCGTATGGCAGCGCCTGACATTAGTCCTATCAAAGCGCCCGTGGGAGTAGTCACTGGCCAATGAGCCCCCACAGTTTCAACTTTAAGGAGATTGTTTGCCAATGAAGCGCCTCTGATGTTCTATGGTGATCGTGCTCAGATCGTTGTCTTGGCAAGACAACTCAAGAAGCTAGTTGGATGCTACGGCGATGGTTTGCTGAACCCGTTATCTCCTTGACTCTGCAGTCCATGCTGACCGGCGAGAGCGCCCCGGTGCTCAAGTCGAGCTTGCCCCTAGACCCCCCGGAAGGCGGCCGCGGTTACTACGACCCCGCCCTTGAGCGCGACTCCAAGTTCCGGCTGCTGTCCGGGACTAGTGTGGTGCAGATCAAGCGACCGGGCGCGCCGCCCGCAAACGATGGCAGCGGAGAAGGAGGACCGCTGCGCTCCGTGTGGGACTTCGGACTGCCGACTGATGCGGCCGGCAAAAAAAGAGTGAGCGGTATCAAGGCTCTGAGCCGCTCGAGCGCTTCTTACCTATATGGGAATGTATAGGATCTTGACGGCGTCTTCGCAGGCCGGAAGTGAACTATTGCAGCCTGCCGAGACGACTTTGGAACGGTTGATTGAAAAGCTTGAGTACGTGTGGTCAGACGTTTGCCCTACGCGTGGCGATACGATCTTATGTTTGTTAATGCACCTTGTGGTGTGAAAGGAGTTGGGGACGCGCTTGACCCGTGTCTTATCATGCACCTTAAATGGAGTATCAAGTGTTAAGATTCAACACTCGCCAGCCCAGGTGGAGTTCCTCTGAAGGTCAAGGATGGGTACCGGTGAGAAGCAGGTCACTTTTACGGTCAGCCTTTATAGCTACGTTTGAAGCTTTCTAATCCTAAAGCTTAGTCATCCTAAAGCTTACAACTTGTAAGTCTAAAAACATTTTCTCCTCTGCTCTTGTGGCAGATGCCGGTGGTGGCTGTGGTTGGCGCGACTGCGTACAACACGGCCAAGGGCCAGCTGGTGCGCGCGATCCTGTTCCCGAAGCAGGCCGCGCTGGACTTCGAGAAGAAGATGTACTACTTCGTGGTCAACCTGCTGCTCTACCTGCTGGCCGCCATCATTGCTACCATCGTCATCCAGCGCAACACGGTGAGGACCGGCTTCAGAGCAGTTCATTGCAGGGAAAAGATTCAAGAGACGAGCGTCAGCAGGAAGCCAAGCCGACGTGGCGATAGCCAGTGATTGATGTTACGAGCTTGTCTAACATGCACAAAAGCTGCAACGCAGATTCTGCAAAAGGGGCTTGCTAAATACCCGAGCCCCATCCTTGAGCACTTGATACCGGATAACTCATCCAAAAAAAAATCGGATCGGTTGCGACCTTGAGTCATTGAAGCCCCACTTTTCCAAATACACGCAAGGCTTAAACGTCGCTCCTTCTCCCCCTTTCTGACAGAACACGGCGGCGCTGATCACGCTCAACTGCCTGAACCTGGTGACGATCGCCATCCCCCCCGCGCTGCCGCTCGCGCTGTCCATCGGGCTGTCCGTCAGCTTCGGGCGGCTGCAGGGCAAGAAGATCTTCTGCATCGCCCCCCCCCGCATCGTGAACGCCGGCCGCGTCAACGCCGCGTGCTTCGACAAGACGGGCACGCTCACCGAGGACGGCCTCAGCCTGCGCGGGGTGTGCGCGGTCCGGGAAACGGAGGAGGGCGCGCGCGCGCTCACGGCGATCCAGGCGGATGTGCAGAAGGCGTACCTGGAGGCGCACCAGGTGAGCAATGGGGGGCGGCACTTCTGGGCTCGTATCACGAAAGTTACGACGCCCGTCGACTCTGATGGATTCGAGAAGAGAAATAGGCGTGACAAGCTGAGGGAATTCTCTCTGCAAGAGCCAAGGACTGGGAATGATATAACTGGCTTCTTGACAAGTACGAGAATCCACTGTTCACCGCCCCTTGATGCAACTGCGTTTGAGCGTATTGTTCTTCTTGTTCGCGGAAGGGCTGGGGCAAAAGAACGAAGGCACCTTGCCCTTGCTTTGCTTTGCCTCTCACGGAACCAAGAGTTTAAACCTACTGCTTCTTACTGTTGCGCATGCTAGGGAGCGCTTTGAGAAGGGCTTACTGCATCAACTTTCGTTCTTTGCCTCATTCAACGATACCGCTGAAACGCTCTTAACGCTTCAATCGTCTAACGTCCCTGTCTGCAGGCCTGCTCCGACAGCCAGTCGAGCAGCGTCCCCGCCGCCCGGTTGGCCCTGTGCCACGTGCTGGCCGCCTGCCACGGCCTGTCCTTGCTCGAGCAGTCCGCCCTGGAGCTCCCGGACGAAAACTGCCGCGACGACCCGCGGCCGCGCCGCAGCTGGAAGAGTGTGTTGGGTCTGGAGGGCGCGCTCGCGTTCCACCGCCACAGCGAGCAGGTGATGCCAGAGGGGGGTGCGTGCGAGGAGCAAAACGAGCCCCCCGCGCCGAGCTTCGTCGGGGACCCGCTCGAGGTCCAGATGTTCGCGCAAACAGGTGCGATCAGCTGCGGGCAGCTCGGCAGTTTCTGTTTTCATTGACGTCAGCCTTTGGAACCCGACAATGCAGCATCTGCGGCTTCGCTGAAGTCGGCGCGATACTTTCTTACCCATGTGGTGCCCAGCTCGTCACTTTGTTCCTATGACTGTAATTGCCAATCAGAGCGACGTGCACTGTGCGCCGAATTGCTTGGTCGGGAAGAGACAAGTTCTAGAGAAGGATTCCTCCGGTACACAAGCTTTGAGGAAATTTGACGGCGTCCTCACCTGCTTCAGGCTGGACGTACTCCGCACGGCCCGACGATGCCCACTTCGTGCCCGCCGCTCCCGTGCACCCCTACTCCGTTTGGTCGCATCCCCTGCTCCCCCCCTCCGCCGACACTGTTCTGATCCCCCCCCCGGAGGAGGACGACGCGGGCCGCGCCGCGCTGGCGGTGCTGCGGCGGTTCGACTTTGACAACGAGATCCGCATGATGAGCACGCTCGTGCTGGAGCTGCCACCTGGCACGCTCGGGGGAGACCACCGCAGCGCCGCGCTGCTCGCGAAGGGTGCGCCGGAAAGGTACGGCGCCGCTCAGAGCGCGACGAGTGGACTTGGCGGTTAAAATAGCATTTCCTGAAACGCTGGCCGATCTCTTTTTTCTCCATTATGAGATGAGGTGACTTGAAAACTGATCTCGGCGGAGAGCACTGCAGCGCTGCGCTGCTTGCAAAGGGTGCGCCGGAGAGGTACGGTGCCTCACAGTGTGTGACGGGTACATCTGGTCTCTACCAATCGTCCATCTCCTGATGCACCTGCCCTTCCTCTTCTCGGTTGTCCTTTCAGGTGGTCCTCAAAGCTCACTCGTCTCTTTTACCCGGCTCCTGGTAACGGAAGCCTCCACCTATTGACTGACCGCGTGCGAAAATTTTCTCGTTGTCAGTTCCCTCACGCCCCCAAACCCCGCCGTGTGCAGCATCAAGGAGCGGTGCCTCCCCGCGTCCCTGCCCGTCGACTTCGAGTCTCAGCTGCAGGCGCTGGCCCTCAACGGCGACCGCGTCCTGGCGTGCGCGTACCGCGCGTTCCCGTGCACCGCCGCCACGCTGGACCCCCTCCTGCGCGCGCCGCGCGCGGACATGGAGAGCGGGCTCACGTTCGCCGGGTTCCTGGTGATGGAGAACAAGCTGAAGCCCGAGACGCCCGGCGTGCTGCGTCAGCTGACGGCGGCCGGCCTGCGCCAGGTCATGGTCACCGGGGACAATCCGCTGACTGCTATCGCCGTTGCCAGGTAGGCCCGGTGGTGGTTTCAGGTGTTTGGTTTGATCGTGCAATAAAGAAGTCTGCGTATGGTTCCCGTCTATCGCAGTCACTATGAGTTCATCGTACGTTCACTGCCGAATCGACGTACCCTCAAAGGCGTCCCCTGACGAGTCGAGAGCTTCGAAAACTGCAGATGGCTGAGGTTGACAAGAAGCTTCTCTTAACGGAATCTGATGGGATCGATTTTCGTGGCGGCAGGAAATGCGGCCCGTTCTTCTTGCGCCCCTCTCGGCGCACGTTCTTGCTGGACCGCGGCGAAGACGCGGCCGGCACGTCGGGGTCGGGGTGCGTGCTGCGAGACGTGGCCACGCAAAGCCAGCTGGACTTTGACCACCACTGGGGCAAAGGCGGAGGGGCGGACTTGGAGCAAGGCGCGGGTGACGCGGCGGTGAGCACAGCCCAGCTTGCGGCACCGGGCAGCGGATTTTTTGCAGACTTTTGGTTTGACAGGGCTATCTCATGTCCCCCGTATTGTGCCGCATCTTATAGACAGTAGGCTCTCAGATGTGGTTTGCTGTCCAATCTAAGCTGGAGGCGAGCGGTCTCGCTTCTCGAGGCTTTCAAATTACGATCTTTTGCAGTCCGGTCCTTACTTTGCAGATGGATACGATAGAACTGAGAATCAAGCGGCAGAGGTTTTTAATGACCCTTTCCAAACAGGATCATCCCCGGATACTAAGGGTCCTTTTTGTCCTTCTCCCCAGTTCGGCGTCGACTTGGTGGTCACCGGGCGAGCCTTCCAGGCACTCCAGGCACAGCACAACGATTCTGGGAAAGACAGTCGGGGCAGCCTTCCTGGGACGTCAAGCCTTATCCATCCGGAGTCGCCGGGCGGGGCCGCCTTCTCCCCCTTCGAGAGCGTACTGGCGCGGGCGAACATCTTCGCGCGGATGTCCCCGCAGAACAAAGTGGACCTCATCACGGCGCTCATGGACCTCGGCTACACCGTCTGCATGTGAGCACCGCGAACGCAAGAGACAAAATCGGCGAATTTTATGCTTCTCTCCTGATTTCTCGTCGTAATAATGTATCTATTCCAGCCCACGGGCATCCAATGACGGTACTCCTCCCTACAGGCTGCTTATGAATCTCTCAAAAGATCAATGCCCCTAGAAAGAGAGATCAAGAGAGTAATAATCATGGTGTGCGCGCATCTGAGGGGTGCTCCGTTCACTCCGCAGGACGGGCGACGGCGCGAACGACTCGATGGCCCTCAAGGCCGCTGACGTGGGCATCAGCATCGCGAGCAAGGAGGTGGAGGAGGAGGACAGCGTCAACGCCGCGCCCAGTATCGCCGCGCCTTTCTCTACCAAGGCACGCCGCGCGTCCTCTCCAGCTCTTTTTGCAACCGCTCCTCAGCGCATTCGCCAGCGGTAGATTGCCTCGCTGATTTGTCCTCCTACCCCGGGTGTTCCTAGGACCTAAGCATGACCTGGCCTCGCGTTTCCCTTGTCCTCGTAAACAAAACACTGTATTGTTGGTGACAAACAGCTGTCTACTTACTTACCGAGGGCTTGAAACATGATTTGACACGCGAAAAGCAAAGGCGTCCGGGTAGCAGAACTGTGGCCGATCCTTCGGCACACGCGGACTCCTGAGGAGTCTCGCGGCATTCTCTCACAGCTGGACTCATGTGTTTTGCAGCTGGCGCACATCGGCGCGGTGCCGCTGGTGCTGGCGGAGGGTCGCAGCGCGATGGTGACGGCGGCCAGCATGTTCAAGTACATGTTCACCTACGGCCTCATCCAAACCACCTCCGTCATCGTGCTCTACAGGTAAGCCCCCCGGCCACGGCTGCTCTTGCGAAGGAGACGTTTACAAGTTTTCGTGAATAAGATGGCGTAGCACAAGAAGCGGCTCCCTCGCGGAGTTTTGTCACTCAAATGCCACCTTTCTCTTGATAGGTACCTTCGAAAGTTGAAAAGATCAGCGTCCCTCGCTTGGGGTTTTGGATGCTTTTTCCCTGTGCACGCCTTCCTTCCCATAGATGCAACTTCCTTTCGAGCACGCGTTTCTCTCCCCTCTTGTCTCCGCTCTGATGGACGAACGATCATCCACTCAACCCACACTCCAGTCTCAAGGTCCAAGGCTGCTCTCTCAAGCTCGCTTTTCCTCGTGCGCTTGCCCAGGTTGCAGTTGGAGCTGTACCAGTACATGTATTTGTGGGCGGACCTGGCGCTGGTGTTCCCCATGGTGGTCCTCATTCCGTCCATCCTGCCGCGCCCCGACCTCACCCCGGGCCGCCCCGAGAGCGACCTGCTCGCGCGCTCTGTGCTCGTGTCCGTTTACGGCCATTCCGCCATTCTGATCGCCTTCCAGGCGCTCGCCAGCCACTATCTGCAAACGCAGGTCAGCCCGCCGAAATCAGACGTGTAATGGGCAGGATTACAATCTTGAAAGAGGGGAACTGGTTGAAAATATCGTTGTAAGATAAGAGCACCAGGCTTTGCTCATTTATAAGGGCTTGATTTTATGTCAAAACATCATATGCTTGCAGATGTTGTTACGATTATAGGTACCCAAGAGATTGTATTTGGGGAGGTATAACAGCACTTGCGGTAGAACTCTGTTTTTATTGTAATGCCTTAATCTTTTGGCGGTGCTTGTTCCGCCTGTGTTTCTTGCTAAGCAAAGAACCGGATATCTTGGCAGGCAACAAAAGCCGTTTATGCGGCTCGAAAGAAAACGTTCTTCGGACGGAAGTATGTTCCCATTTGTCGTACGTTTTGGACGCTTCTGGTGGGCTGCCGTTGTGGGCAGCCACGTGTCTAATCACGTTCCTTGCTTTCTTGTTGCCAGTCGTGGTACCAGCAGCCGTTGCCCAACACGCCGGGCTTCGATGCACAGTTCAACCAGAACACCACGGAGTCCTGGCTCTTCTCCACCTTCCAGGTGAGCCCAACGACCCAAACTCTCCTCATTCTGGGCATATGGGCACAGCAACTTCTTCGTTGCCCTGCATCATCGTCGCACACAAGCATTACATGACTGCACATCGCTTTTGATCGGTCGACGGTGCCAAACAACGGTGTGGTAATGACTACTGGAGTACACGCTGCCAGCCCGCCGCGATAGTACACCGCACAATTGTGCACCTCACATTTGCTTCCACCCTCCCCGGCAGTACATCTTCCTGGCTTGGACCTTCGCCCAGAGCTTCGGCAAGTTCCGCGCGCGCATGTTCACCAACCTGCCGCTCTGCGCCGCGCTCGGGCTGCAACTCCTGATCTGCTCCGGCTTCCTGCTCGCGCCCACGCCCGCCGTGCGCCGCGCGTTCCGCATGGTCGACTTCTCCCCCCACCGCGGCTTCCTCTTCGGGCTGTGGCTTCTGGCAATGCTTAATGGAGCGGTGCACCTCCTCTTCGAGCGCTTTGCCGTGTTGCACCAGTCGGCCGAGCCGGACCCGGTAGACCCCCAACCGATCCTGCAAGAGCTGCGCGAGCAGCAGCGCGAGGCGGGCAGGGCGAAGTCCCGGGCGGCGGAGCGGGCTGAGAGTTGTTGGACGGAGGGCGGGCACTGTATTCCGACGAAGGTTAAGCCGGCACGGTATCAGATTGTGAGCCGGCAGACGTCGCCGATCTGGGCCGCGTTGCAGTAGGGTATGAGTTGGGACAGAGGAAAACCTGCTTTGACAACCGAACTTCGTGATGCGGATGGTGATCCGATGGTCTCGTAAGTTTGATATAAATGTACGTGGTGACCTTAAAGAGGCTCCTCTTTGTTCATCAGTGTGACGGAAACTAAGGCAATGCAATACATCTAAGGACGCAACACTTGCAAACGCAGACGAAAATGCTGCTTGATTGAACAACTGATCACAAGATTACGTAGGGAGTGTGTAAGGAGTTCCGACTCAATGCAACTCTAGTTTAGTCTAACACATAGGTATAATTCAACGTTACATAATTCAAGCGTAAGCTATATGAGTCCGCGACGTGTCCTGATGAACGGGTACATTGCTTGATACAAAAAGACAGATCAACAATTCTTGCGAATGTTCTCTCAGGTTCAAATCTGCGGGCGCAACATGACGATATGGTCGCACTGCAATTCGGCCAACATTCAGAGACACGGTCTCACACACCATCATCCCGTATCCCAGGCCTGAGTGGCGAGACATGCTATGTTGCAGTGCAGCTCTTTTCGTTTGGACAGAACGCGTCCGACGAAGCTGGCGGCCGGCCTCAAGGCCGTCTAGGGCTGGGGGATCCCCCTTGACTCATGCTCCGGGACTGTCTATCAACCAGTTTTGGAACCCGAAACTATGTAGACTGGCTGGCCTTCTTGCTTGGACCGAAGCGTGACCCAATTGTTAACCGTCCCTTGACCCAGCTGAGTGCTTTATCTCCCGGACACATATAGCTCGTCCAAAAGCAAAGTGAAAGCTTCTGACCCCTCAGCAGAGTGATACAGGCCTGTGCAGGCCCCTTCAGCCATTACGCGCGCTTTCAGAGCTTCCGCAAGCGATGCAATAATGGTGCTGTTTGTTGACCGCAGGACCGCATACGTCCTCGCTTGCCCGCTTGCTATTTGGTACCATTTGGTTGTTGGGGTCTGAGGTGGTAAATGCCACTGTCCGTAAGTCTCTGCCAGTGCCAGCCACTAGCAATCTAACTTGGCACAATGGAAGCCCCTGCAAAGCTTCAAAACTGTTACTGGATTTTACGTCACGGTCTGAGCAAGCCAAATGAGGCAGGCCTGATTGTGAGCAGTGTGGTAAGTTGACGCATTCGCCCACCCAATGCTATGAGTCTGCAGGTATGCTCCAGCTTGCATTGGTCCCTGCTCGGTGATGCATTTTGCTGCATTCCTGCCACTATATATCTTGTCACCAGGTCAATAGCGTATTGCTGCCAGCAAATCCCGAACTTAGGCTGATGAGGATCTTGCAGGACAATGGTGTGATGCCAGAGCATGGGCTTGCGGACGCGGGGAAGGAGCAAGCAAAGCAAGCGGGGAGGACGCTCAGAAATGTGAGCGAACCGTCCACCATCATCCAGTTTGTGGGGCCAACTCTGGTGATGCAGAGCCCGTGTGGTGATTCAGACTGGGTTGCCTCTCTGATTGCAGCAACAGTTCAGCGGGAGAATATGCTGAAATGCTGAGCCCTTCTGCTACGCGAAGGACTTTTCTGCAGGCTTTGGTGGCAGAGAAGGTTGATGTGAGGACCCTGAGCATCTTTGCATCACCGTTCAGCCGAACACAAGAGACAGCGGCCATTGCTGCTGCGGAGCTGGCCCAAGATGGGGAAGGGCCAGAGAGCCCCTCAATACAGGTAACGCAGAGCAGTTTGTCTCCGAGGATTGTTGCGCAGGGCAAGAATGGTAGCAGACTTCAAGCAAATGTCTGGCGACTATCTGCAAGGAGATGCAACAGGTCTGGTGCTTGGGCGTTCTCACTGCGATCCTCAAGATGCAACTGTTTGTGCGCTAAAACGAAACATCAGGGCATGCCTTGGACTTGTTAAAGTATCTTGTCCTTTCCTGAAGCAGGAAGCTATTGAGTTGCGGGAGAGGTACTTTGGCCCAGACTTTGAACTGAGGTCGCATGAAAAGGTGGGTACTCAGCTGTTGTGATGCAATATGCTGATGCAAGTAGAGTGTTGTCAAAGGGCTGGAGTCAATATACCAAAGGTCTGACTATGTTGCAGATCCTCAATCCCCTTTTACCCAGCTACTTTTCCTTCCCAGCTACTCTGAAAGCTCTTGATGCAAGGGAAAACCTACTGGGATGTCGTTCGTACTTCAGATTTGAAAAGAGCCCAGGTGGGCCAACTATAGATTCTCACGATGCGTTTGTCGAGCAGTATCCAGAGATCTGGGCTATGGATGCCAAGGACCCCAGCGTGGGGCCCACCGGTGGGGAGAGCGTCTTGGATGTGGCAGCCAGGCTGCAGGCCCTCGTAAGAAAGGTCGAATCTCAAACAAGCGGGTGAGTGATTTGCTGACGAAGCTGGACATGCTAGCTGTGTCCAACTTGTTTTGCAAGGATAAACATAGTCCTATGACCAAGCTACAGCAGCTCTTTTGCCTCAAGGGGACTGTAAGAGTTGCGTTTTCCGACAATCAAGCTGACGAAATGATGCTCCATAAGAAGACGGCTTTACACTGTGTGCCTGAGCCAGACTGTCGGTTACTGTTTCCAGGAGACACGTGCTGTTCGTTAGCCACGGGGATACTCTGCAGATTCTCCAGGCTCTCTTGTCAGGAGCTTTCTTGTCGCAAAGCTTGTTAGCTGGTTCTGTTGAAACAGTTGTGTTGAAAGCTCTATCAACTCATAGAACATTTGCGCTTGGCACTGGTGAGCTGCGTAGGTTAGCGATCGCCCCGAACGAATCAGATGCATAGTTTGACCACAAGGTGTTTCCTACTCTGATAAACGTGTTCGTCATCTGGTACCGAATCCCACAGCTTGAGTGTTATAAATTCGGATCAATCACTTTATTGCTTTCTTGATGCCATTTGGCCCGTACGTGGTCCGCGGCGCCGGCCCAGTTCTAAGTAACACCTGACCGGTACTATTCTTGGCTCAGGATTGAATAGGCTGAATTTATAGCATCGTGTCAGTTCGACCGCATACAAGTGACAGCCGCTGAGCTGTTGGCAACCATCGGGCCTCACGGCGATTGGACGTACAACCGGCCGCTTATCATTGGAACGCACTGAGGCACGCGTCTTGCAAGCATGCTCATGTGCGATTATACAAGTAGCCATTTCGTGACAAGCTAATGAGGCGATGAGAGGGATTCACGAGCCTGCATGCCACTTCATATAACTAGAGCATATACCCCTGGATCCTGAATTATTGTGCACATTTGGAGGGCCAGCAGACCATTAATCGTGCAAGATCACATGCAGCTGCTAAATGATGAGCCCATGATTGCATGCAGGCGATTGTCATTTTGATAGTTTCACAGGTGCATGCCGAATGCAGGGATATACCACGATTATACGACTCGTGGTTGTGAAACGCTGGACCGTTATATAACTAAATGTAACTAGACCGTCCAGGGCCAGCCATAGTCAATGTCGGATACGTGGGCTGTAGTAGGCATGCACTGCCTTTGAGATGTTAAGGCCAGATTCGAGCGTGACTGATAAAGCGAGAGCAGCACATCCATGGCGTATTGACGGTAGGCCACGTTCTTGACAAACAAAACCATGCCTTCAAAGCGGTGAGATGTCCCGCAGAATCTAGGCAGGTCTGTGTCTCTCATCCTGCAGCTGACGACAGCATCTCTCACCTTCCACGGGAGAAAAAACTGCCCAGGCTCTACTTCAGCAAGGTTCTCACAATCTGCTTCACGTTGAGCTTGGTGAGATCGGTGTAGGTCTGGCCACAACCGACGAACATGATGGGGGCGGATGAGACGTACACCATGGACAGCGCTGCCCCGACCTACAGCACAAGTCACACTCAATTAATCAGATGTACGGAATATATGCGAAGGTCTGCAGGCTCAGAAACCACAGACAGCCACGTTCTATTGCTTTCCATACTGATGTGAACAGGAGACTCACCGACTACAAACCTACTTCACTCTACTTCGTTGGACTCGAGTTCCCATCATACAAAATGACTTCGAAAACCCGTGCCGACAGACGAAAGTCCAAATTGACCTCCAAGCCGAAACAAATCATTGCAATCCCTGGCGCACGAGCTGGTCACATACACTAATGCAAAATGACAGTCTGCCATGAGTTCCAGGTAACCCGTCCCTGTGGTCGAGATCTTCAAAGATCTTATTGACAACCTGAATCCTGGGCATAGTCGCCTCGACGGATTGATTCGGTCTATTCAAAGCATAACAGCCAAGATAAAGGCATAATCTGGAAGGAGATAACCGGAATCACAGTTCCCTTGCACAGTCTTATGCTCGTAGCAACACAAGCCCGTCTCTCACCTTGTCATCGATGGTGTCGAACTTGGTGAGCAGGATGCCGTCGATGAGGCGCGGCGCGCTGCCAACCGAGAGGTCCGCGAGGCGCTGGTTGAACTTCATGAGCTGGTCCACGCCGTCGTTGCCCACGAGCGCCTCCCCCACAAACAGCACCAGGTCCGGCTGGTTCTGGTTGATCAGCTTAGACAGCGACCGCATCAGCGGCTCGTTGTCCTGCATGCGCCCCGCCGTGTCCACCAGCACGACGTCGCGCTTCTCGCGCGCCGCCGCACGGATTGCATCGGCGGCCACCGCGGCAGGGTCCTTCTCGTAGCCGCGCTCGAACAGGGGGATCTGAAAGCATGCAGGCGGAAGGGGAATGAGAGGACTGTTTAGGGGATCACGAGCATGAGGCGAACCTCGAGTTTGTCAAAGACCTTTTGCTGACGCAGACAGTATGAATAAGGATAGGACAACTGCTTTGCAATAGTTTGATCCCCCATCAAGGATCGGAGAACGGGTGTGGCTACCCAACCCTGCACCTCCATTGCTTCGCCCGGCCTTCTATGACAAAGGCCTTCATTTCGTCGTTTGAACCTGAGATGACCAACAAACTGAGGCACTGTTGATGAACCCCGACCGTTTGGAGGCTGCTTTAAGTAATACAATGGCAGTACAACGACAACCCCTACTCTGATGTCTGACATTCAATGGAAAGCGGGGAAACACATCTGACAACGATTCCACATGGTAGTCAACGTAGCAGTAACCCTTACATTCAGCCTGCGGCAGTGTGTCTTGAGCTGCTCCACTGCACCCGAACGGAAAGTATCACACGCAGCAATCATGACATTGATGTCATGCTGCAGGAGCCAATACGCGACCTGCACAGGGGAAGTTGTTCAAAAGAATCAGAGAAAGGACACATGGCCTGGATGACGCCTCAATCTTTCTGGACAGCAACGGTTTATTCAAACTCGTTTGCAAGAGTTGCGCCCCAGGCAGCCCGCATCCCATCGATCATCAGAGGAAGTAGGTGGATCTTGTCCAAGAAAGATGCTGCCTGCCCTGCTCGGACCGCAGCTGCGGCCTCACCTTGGACAGGTTGGTGGACTTTCCGACCCCATTCACTCCCACAAAGACCACTGTGTAGGGACGCCCAGCCTCCTTGGCAGCATGCACATCCCGCAGGATGTCAATGGACCGCTTTGGGGTCAGGATCCGCAGCAAAGCCTCCTCCATGGCGGCCTGCACAAAGACACACCCGCTTAGCGCCCTTACAAAATTCCAAAACCTCGTGCACCATGCTACAGAATCAAAAGGCTGATATCTTTTCTTGTCTGCGTCAATGGCAAAAATGTCTGCTTTTTCTCAGCACAAATCATAAGCTGACGTTGAGTTCAATGTGAGGTACTCTCTAGAAACAGTCGAGTCTGATGTGAAGTAGACCAAAGCCTCCAGAGAGCAGCACAAACACAAACTTACCTTAACAGTCGACGAGACCAGAGAGAATGAGGCCTGCTTGCGGCCCACAATGCTGGTGGCAACCGACTCGCAGAGCTTCTCCGCAATCTCCTCAGCGACATTCTTGGTCATGAGGCGCTCCTTGAGAGCTTTCAGAGCCGGCTCCAAGTCCTCCTTCTCCAGAGCTGCCTTCCCAGCCACACTGCAGAGGGCGCACAAATTCAGTCCTCCTGGAACAACAGACGCCAAGCAGCCTCTATCAAGACAGGGCGGCCAACATTCCTTGGCCTAGCTCTCGTGACAAGAATCTTCCATGTGTGCAAGTGTTAGCAGGGATGAGCCCTGGAGGTCCTAAGGAACACGAAAGCAGCTTTGCATGCTGATTGCAAAGATGCTGCACGATGTGCAACTCGGCGACTCACCTTTGGAAAACTGATGCAAACCAGCCCTTCTTAGCAGGAGTCTTGGTGGTGGCAGTGACGGTGCCGTTTGACACTTCGTTCAGCTGTTCCTCCTCCTCCCCCTCCTCCTCATCATCGTCAAGATCCTCCTCAACATCCATGCGGCTCTTCCCACCGCCACTCACATCGATTGCGTCAATTACCTCGCTCTCAGTTCCCTCTGAATAATCCAGCTTCCTGTTGGGATCAGGGGTGTCGTCCCACACCCTTTTTCCCCGCGTACCCTTCTTGCCGCTGTCCGCCGCCGAGTCGCTGCCGAGCTTCTTGCCATCCGCAGGTTTGAGGGGGTCAGCCTTCTTGGTGCTAGGCCCCTTTCCCTTCCGCTTCTGGAGCTTGGACAGGTCAAAGGCAGTGGCTCCGTTTGCCCCATTGCTGACTGTCCCCACACTCTCTTCTTCGCTACTGTTGCCTCTACTATCGTCGGACTTGACTGCCTGGACCCCTAATTTGTTTTTCTCAGCTGCTGAGGAGCTGTCATCGTCGTCGCTCTCCTTTTCTTGTTTGCCTCCAGACGTTTTGTTCCCTCCCGTCTTTCCCGTTTGCTTCAGCTTATCCTTCCCCTTCTTGGTGTTCTCAAACTTGGTTATCTGCTTTGATCGTCGACTCTCCTCAGCCCGGGTCTCCGCTGCTTGAAGCATCCGCTGAAACTTGTCATCGAACCCCTTGTAGGAATACTTGCCCTCCTTGTAGGTTGGTGCAAACTCTGCTTTTACTGCAGCCAGGAGCTCCTCCACGTACAGCAACTGCAGAAGGTAACCTGGTCAGATCTCTGATTTATGAAGCACGCCATGAAAGCTGTCCCAAGCAAAAGAATAACGAGAATAGCAAGCATGAAATAAACTGTGAGATCCATACAAGCTGCTGAAAGGAGCTCACCTGTAAGATCCGCTGGTATACTGCCACGAAGACCAGACCCAATTCATTGTGGAAGGTCCACTTGAGGGTGTACTCTCCTTGCGAGAAAGATGTTTCGCCTGAGCGCTCCTCCAGCAGGCACGACCGGATGAGCGAATCAACCGGATTCCCCTTCAGAGCGGAGGTCAGCTGGAAAGTCCACAGGACCAGGCCCCCCCGGGTGAAGATAGAAAAGTGGTCCAACATGGTCAGCAGCTCTTTTAGAAAGACCACCTGGATCGATTTAATGCGAGAAAGGATGACCAACAAGCTGCCTCAATCGGCTCTGTACACCTCCTCTGATATCCACCTACACTTTGCAGTTCTAAGTGAGTCCTCACGTCTTGGATCATTTGTTGCGGACGCCTGGCACCGCCATGGTCTGCATGCTTGCGCTTGAACTGTGCAGTCCAGAGCGGTTGTTGTCATTGACACTGACAGTTGACCACCGAGCTCGGCTCAGCTGCGAGCTCACCACTGTGTGGCGACCAAACTCGACTATTAGCTGACTCGATGGTCGCTAGCTTTTACGCATGATGCACAGAAAACCTTCTCGGTCTTGGAGCTCGCATGCGCGGCATGGAGACTAGCAAAGTTACCCAGTCTGCTGGCATGGACAGAAATGCGCAATGCAGCTCCTCTTCTTCAAGCATCGTACAAGTATGATCTATGGTGGTGCTCCTGGGGTTGTCCCAGCAAGTGCTCTTCTTTGTCCCTGGTGCTCAGGACAAGAGCAATGAGCCAGCCCGCAATCAAGCTTCAGCAGCGCCTAGCTCAAAATCTATATTGGACGACCAATTGTGACTAGGTGGATGAAAGACACTCTTTGGATCAGTCGCACAGAAGGTGTGGATTGCAGCACACAAGAGGTGCAGCTCTGCTTGGCATGCTTTCCAGCGGTGAGGAGAAGCAACAAATGTTTTGGGAGAGTGGAGTGGCATGCCAACAAAAGTCTAAATTGCTGCTGAGATTGTCGCTTGATTATCTATTTGCTTAGATGCACCAAACGAAGCTGCAAAAGTTCACTGCAGTCTTTAGAATGTCATGAGAACTGTGAAGTATGGAACACAGCTCCTTTCTAATCTCCCTTTTCTGGGCTTCTGATGCTCACATACTCTTCCTGCGTCCACCACCTGCTTCTTCCAGGCTGGGACAGGGGCCTGGGTTTTCAATCGGTTTGCGAGAGATCTTCCCCAAGACATTGAGGTGACGATCTTCTGATCACCCTGGTTAAGGGTTGAATTCTGCAGGCAATTCTAGGACTTTGATACGAGTGGTGGAGTAAGAGAGTCTTGCCTACGCACAACTTATGCCCTGTAATCAACAACTTTGACATGACAATTGGTGATTTGTGCTATCGTTTAGAAGGCCACGCCATCTGGGGCTTTGATTGGCCTCTAAAAGGTATCAAGTAGAGCACATCGATCGGTAGCGTCACTCATGACAAGCTGAGTATTTTTCATGAGATCTGCAGGTCCTGCCAATCGAGTATCCTGGCAGTGGGCAGCGATCTCTAGAAAAGCGGCACACTTCTATGCAAGACATCGTGCAACCATGTGTGGCAGCTCTACTACCGGTTCTGGCAGAGAAAGTAAGTCAGAAGAAGCCTCCATCAGATGCTTTTCTTGACACAGAACAATCAGAGCATGTTGAGGCTAGCTATGCAGATTCATGCAGAATATCGCTGCGCCTCTTGCGTGGCCCCTTCAGAGGCAGCTTCAGAGCACTTTCGGGATAAGAGCGTACGTTGTAATCTATGGAGAATTCTTGTCGATGCCTCCTCAATTGTAAATGAAGTTGGTCGGGCAGGTTGGTGGCAGCAATAGGTGGCGTGGCCCAACTCTATTTCTACATTGGATCTCGTCCTCCTACCGCTTATCCCTTTTTTGGTTGACATGCTCAGGTACCGTTGTTATCGCACATGATTGGATGTGTCATCCTTCCTCATCTGCAAATCTGAACCAAGGCTACTTTGTCTTGTCTTAAAACGCCTTATCTAAGGATGGCAGGGTCGAAAGTGTCAAGGTACAGACGTTTCAATAACCCAATGACTGCTCCTAAGTGCACACCGGAGTGTTCGAGTATCACCCCAAGTGATGTCGCCTTGTGTGTCGGCAGCCAGTCGCTCTGTTTGGGCACAGCCTCGGCGCCTGGATCGCATTTGAAGTCGCGCACCAACTCGAAGAAAGAGGAGTTGCCCTGAAAAGGCTCTATGCTTGTGCTGAGAGGTGAGCACAAAGAGAGGCCATCCCCACACTAAAGAGCTGCCTCCTTCTCTGACCACCTCACTGATTCGAGAAACTTCTTTTTGGTTCTTGTATTGGACGTTATCTGGCATACTTTCGTCAAACAATCTGAGCTTTCCCATCAAAGTTGACGAAGTTTGACGTCCTTAAAAGAGACGACTTGAGCTTTTATCGTCCCTTTGCTGCAGGGCCCCTCATCTGTCTGCTGTGTCGTACGACGTCGACCCGACCACCTTCCACGTGCTAGACGAGCCTGCGTTTTGGCACGCGTTTGAACGAAGATACGGGCTGCCACGTGCTCTGCAGGTCAGTCAAAGCTTGAGACACAAGGTGATGCAGGAGATGCCTTCTATCTTCCTACGCCAGTCGCACGTCGTTCTGAATAAACTGTATCGTTGCAGATGCTTCGTGTGGTGCGGCGAGTAACTGTAAGCTCGGTACTTACGAAGGCGGGTCCTGACATTGACCCGATGCTGCTCCTTGCAGACTGAGGTGGCGCGCAGGTTTGCGTACCCTCGCTTACGAGCCGACCTTGAAGGTGAAGCCTGCTGCTGTAGATACTCGAGATCTCCTGAGTCCATCTTCTTTGCTTCCATTCGTTCACTGGCATCGAAATAGTCGCCTGCGGAACGGTCAAATTCAAGCATATAGCGCCTCACTCCTTTGAGTCGCTTGGAGCAATTGAACGGGATGTTGCAACTGTATCCGCTGGTTGACATTCGTGTGGCTTACTGCAGTTTTCGAGACCTACGTGCCGAGCACCTCGCGGCGTCTTGACTGCGATCTAGTTGCAATAGGCGCGGAGTCGGACCCTCGGTACACTCCCGATCAGGTATGCGGAATGTCCACAGGTTCAGCACAATCTTAGGTTGCCACGGAAGTAGCCATTGCTGAAGTACGTACGGAGGAATTGTGAATGTTCGGGGTCGAGCCTCTGTGATCGTTTTCTGAGAATGCAGCACGCATGCAAGCAGAACGTCCTTCTCGTTGGTCGTTTTAATAGCTTGCATCCCCGTCTCGGTCAGCAACTCGCCCTCGTTTTGAGAAGACAGTAGCGATACGAATTACACCAGCATTTTGAATGGTTGTCTTCTGCCAGATATCTGCTTGGAGGCAGCATACTGCCGGAGCATTTGAAGAGAGGTGGTTTGCGGGTAAGTGCCTCGGGTTTCGGATTGCAAGTACAGATTTTTGAACTAACCCCTTTGTCTCTCGTCTTTATATCCCGCTGTCCAGCAATGTTCGGCCTTGCACTGTGCAATCTTCTTCGCCAAGTTGCCTCTTGCATCTGCGAATGTCTGTCGGGGGATGCTTTTGAAATCTCAACGAACCAGTCCTAGTATCTTATTTGACACATCGAACGAGCGAATGTGCAGGTGGACACCAGTTCGTGAGGGAAGATCCAGAAACGTTACTGGCGTACCTCAAAGAAGACCTGGCTCGTACAATCCAGGGCCAAAACACGCCCACTGCAAGCTGATCCAAACTGGATCACTGAGCGGCTCAGGCCCCGGGCCTGCTTACAGACCGAAGTCCGGACCCCCTTCGCAATTGCCGATTCTCCAGAACCACCGCCCTAGCCTTCGGCCGCCATGGATCGATTTGAGTGGCTGCGGGGCCAGTGCTGGCTGACCCCTTGGCCCGCTACCCCGCACGTGCCTCAGACTTCCAGGTCTGCCATAGACTGGGTATTCAGGGGAACGGCTTCATTCCACGTTAGCCAACAGGAGCAGTACGGCGGCTCCGGTGTGCACGATGACAGGGGACCTCTGACGCCTAACGCCCGACATCTCTTCTTCAAAACGGGACCGAAGTGCCACGACCCAACTGAGACAGTGAGTAATCTTGCTTGGCTGTTTGAGGGATTGACCGTGCTTCTCGAACCTCGACGAATATATTTGGGTACTTTGCCACAGCTTTCCGACAGTAGGTCCTCGTCTGCGTTGTTTGAGTCATTACGTCTTAAGTCGCGTCAGCGTTTCGAGGGACTTTCAAGCTCCTGCACGGCGTTGCAATTGATGCAGTGCGCGTCACACTCGGAGGGAGGACCAGGAGTTTCCTTTTGCGCAGGCCTGCTGCGTGGGTGTTGTTCAACACTCCGCCAACGACTTGCGGCTGGTCTTCTGCCTGGCAGATCAAGACGTTTGGGAAATCGAAGCTTCTCAGGTGACCTGACACACAATCCACACCTGAAAAGTCGGATCTGCCAAAACGTCGGGAGGTTTTTGACGGCAAGTCGAGGCTGTAGTGGTCGAGGATTACGTCAAAGGTCATATTCCTTCCGACGCCTGCTAATTCTCGAGTCCTCAACCGCAAGACTGACTGGGGCTTGCTCCTCAAATGGTCAATCCATAGTCCGTGCTCTTTCGAGCAAAGGGCAGATTCTTCGGAGTAAATCGGAACTTGTGCTGGAAAAATGGCTTCTCACTGCTGTTTTACTTTCACAGGTGCAACGGCTTGTGCTACAGGACAGTGAAGCCGAGGTCCGTCAAGAGAGGCCTGGAAAGTAGGCATCTTTGCATGGACAACCGTCTTATCTTGGCGCCCACGTTTGCAGACAGTCGAGTTACTCTGCAGAAAGGTTGCCTTCCGCTTTTGCGGGTGTTTCTGGAACTCTTGGAACCCTTCTGGCGCCCTAGACTAGCGTACAACGGCGTTGGTTCCACTTGTAATATCTCTCATCGAGGCGAAACGCTTTTAAATCTTTGGACTCTCTTCTTCGAAGCAAGTACGCGCTCGTACATATCCAGAACGCGAATAGAGCAAGTGTCCCCGTGTTTAAATGGAGCGTGCTCATTGGCCAAAAGCCCCGCAATATGAGTTTCCTTACTTTCTTGTCTATCTAAAGGATCCATTGAGGCCTCTTTCTGCAAGCGCTCAGGACAAAGTCTGACAAGTCTCGCCCTTACTTCCAGGCTGCCGGCTGTCTTGAGCGTCATCTTCCGCCACGTCGTCCTTAATCTCTACCTTTCGTCGCCCACAATCGCAGCAGAGGCGCCGCAGGTGCTCTCCAGGTTAGCGGCGCCCTGACCCCCGTCAAGGGTCAGGGGTGTCTTTCTAGATCGCTCGAAGTCTCAGCACCTTCTAAAGTGCTCGCAATTACTGCGGTGCTGTCGGCCATGTTATCCGCTGCGAGCTGAAGTTTGTTGTCCTTCGCAGGGTGGCGGACCTTCTCTCTCGAGCTTTAAAGAATGACAGCTCTGTGAGACTCACGTCAGGTAAGCAACGGGCAGCTCGAGCGGATCTGTGGCGCGTTCGATACTGTCTGAACGCTTCCCTCGTCAGATGCTGGTTCTTCACCGGCCCTGTTGATTGAATAGTCAGTCTGTTCCTTGCAGGAGGCGAGGCAGGAGCGCCACAGATGGCACGACCAGAGGAGCTTGCATGCAACTGGCTGCGCTCTGCCGACGAGCTGGCCGCCAGTGCCCGGAGTACCAGCAACGCCTTGGCAGCCACCGAGATCGTCGAGGGGGCGCTGACAGCGATGGTGAGCACAACTGCTTCTGGGGCCTTGCCGACCCGGGGAAAGAAGTCCCTGCACGACAGTAGCGTAGATGGCCAGGGTCCGTGCCGTTTACTTGCGAATGCGAAATTCTGAAGCATGGCTGCAGACGAGAAAAGCTCGGGGCTTTGACAGGGATGAACAACTGCGCCAAACGCATAGGTGGATTGCCCCAACATCAGGTCTCAACTTTCAGCTCGTCTCCTGCAGGCAGCCGCTGCTGTGACACGGGAAAAGGTTCGAGCAGCCGCAGGGAGTGTGCACAGAAAGTATCCGGTCAGCACGGATGCTGAGGAGGTGAGATGGTCATTGGGCACCCCGCTCTGATGCCATCTCATGTCGACCGCCAGATTCCCCGAGAAAAAAGCAACGGCATGCAAAGAGCTTTTGCATGCGTTGGCGACACGGCCTTCAATTGACTTTGAAGTGTGAAATGAGGAAAGCAAACGTTGCCGGCTCCTTGTCCTTCCTCAGGAGGTCGTAAGGTGGATGCTGGAGAACCGTGGAAAGCACGAGGGAACGGCTACTGACGTGACTGCCAAGTTGCAAGCCCTCCTCCAAGAAGTGAGTTCTCAAGCTTCTTACGGATTCCAGTCACAAGCATTGAATGAAATATACGTGCCCTATTTCTGTGAAGCAATTGGATATCAACCGTCCCTGCGATTCTGTTGCGTGCTGTAAACTGCAGAGGGCGGCGAAAAGCAACGCTGTGATCAAACCATTCAATCGTTGCCTAGCCTCAAACACAACTTCTGTGTGTGCAGCAAAAGAAGCAGTATGAGACTCGCCTGTGGCTCCAAACAGTGGGCGCGGCGACTTAGAGTGGTCTGTATTGCCTAATATCGGTACGTGGGGAGCCTACTAGCTTGTGGCTCATGCTTTATTGTCATGCCAGCTGTCATGTCAGCACACGACCATAGATACAATTATCCGCATCGTATGCATGCCCAAACGATCAAATGCACGTCAGATCGGTTCATGAGTGTGAATGAGACACCGGAATTACAACCACGCCCTCGTGACGTGGAGGAAAACTAACTTGCTGGCCATCGTACAGTTTGCATAGGTTCACTGTTGCCGCCCTATCTCAAACCTTAGAGTGAACAGAAGAAAGAATGCCTCAGCTGCATTCTTTCCCCAATTCACCAGTGCCCTCTATGCACTGACCAACATCTACACATCACTGAGACAATAATTACAACCAATTATTGTCTCTCCATTCTAGTTTGCGACACGAATCGGACAGGACACAATCTGGCCTGACACCTGATCGAGTAACAAATTAAAAACTCTCTCTTGCAGCTCAATACAATAGTTCCTCGCGAGCAAAAATGGACATCTCAATCAATCCAACTGCTAGCGAGCGGCCAGAATATACCTTCTGCTAACCAAGTTCCCCTCGACTCAATGGACATTATCAGTGTGCAACAGTTCAAGCGATCACTCCCCCCCCAGGTTAAATGGCCCTTCTACCCTCAATGCCCCCTGTCAATTCAAGCCTGTGCAAACGGTACCCCATTGCATGCCTACCTCTATTTACATATGCAACTGTAAGTGCAACTGACCCAGCCACTCCCGAGCGTTCTGTACTTTCGAATCTGCACAACGCTGCATGAGGCAAATATGAGAGGCTGTTCGCATTCACTCGAGAAGCCAAATGGAACAATGAAGAGCGCAGCTCTGAAAGGGGGTTCAGATTACAAGAGACGCAGCACGCAACCACTCGGATTAACTCTGGCTTTGTAGTATTCTTGTAAGTTGGCAAGCGTACCTTTCCTCTTCCGCGTGTAGGTGATCTCGCTTTGTCCTGTCACCAGAAAGGGCACCACCTGCAGACCAGCACGTGTGAATAAGTCCCAAAGAGGACCTTCGTTACACCATGGCAAGTGATACGCGCGAGTGCCCTGTTGATTGGCAGCAAGCGCAATTCTGAAATAATTTCTTCACATCGCCTTCTGACACGGACGCCACACTCTTCAGGACCGCTAAGAAAATCGCACCTCTCGCTTGAGGATCCGTCTCAGAGTCTACAACGTAACAAGGCACCAAATCTATGAGAAGTCATCTCGTAGCTGCTTCCATGCGAAGAATCCTCAAACCAGGTTTTCAGTGTGCTCACCCGATGTAGCTCTGGCACAGGTTCTCGTGGCTCATCGCCTGCGCGATCAGTTTCTGGACCTGCACCTTCACGGTCAGCCCCGGCTCCTCCCGCTCCGCGCCCGGGGCCCCAATCCCCGAGCTGGCCAGGAGATAGCTGCTGGCAGCCCCCGCCGCGCCTGGGACGCCCGCTGCACCAATTGGCGGGACGCCGTTGACCCCGAAGTCGCGCCCCGTCAGCTTGTTGCTCATGCGTGTCATGACGGCGACGGCGCGCTCGTTCAGAACCTCGTTTGCGTCGCCCAGCTGCCCAACCGCCTGGCAAGACAGAGCAAAAGAGGATGAGTGGAGGAGCGTGCAGCTTGTCACAAAGCCAGTGAAACGCTTGTACAGGACTGGCAATTCTACGTTTCCGATTGAAGGACTCAGAAGAAGGTAGAAGTCGAGCAGGTGTTTGCAGGTGAAGCCATCTCAGCGCAGAAACACTCTAAAGGATCGAGACCTAAATTTCAGGAAAGTCTTGCTCCCAACAAGAACGGCTGCGGAGGTAAATGACGCCTTCACAACAACCCCAGGCGAGAATCGCTGACCTCCCGCAGTTCCTTTTCCCTGGCCCCTCGTTGTGGGGGCGAAGGCGGCGCCGCCTGTTCGTCGGCAGGCTGCGCCGGTTGGGCCCCCCGGGCCCCCGTGGGGTGGGTGCTGCCGTCCGCCAGGTGGAAGAGACGCCAGTTGATGAGGGGGTCGTGCACAAACGCCTGCACCACAGGAGCAAGGTCAGCAGCTGCGACTGCTGACGGAAGGGGGACGCGACACGCCAAACGTACTGATAGGGTGCCTCACAACTGGCCTCCGGCGCCTTTCTACGTGAGTTCGGCGCAAAGCCTGGATGATGCACAACTTGTGAACACCTGGGCCAATGTGCAGAGAAAGTTTCGCAACCGACAAAGAACGTGCTGGCTGGTCGAGCCACGGCGTAGGGCTGTGAGGGACTGACCTCCATCATGGCCATGACGGAGTCCTTGTTCTGGCGCAGCACGGTCATCACGTTCTCGCACGTGCTGCGGAAGTTGCCCTCGATGCCGCTGACCTCCATGGCCTTGACCAGCATGCGCGTCAGCCGGAAGGGCACGCGCTCCGGGAACTTCTCGCGGTTCATGCTCGCCTCAAAGCAGTCGCCGAAGTCGATGTGGATGATCTTGCCGCTGCCGCAGAGAGGGGAGCACGTGTCAGGGTGAGCCACCAGCGTGGCAGGCGAGGATCAACATCGACAAACAGTACAGAATTGATTACTTGTTATGCCCGCGTGCGGTTTTACGGGAGTTTTTGATACAAACACCTTCATCACGAACTCCTTGAAAGCGAGGCAAAAGAGCGATAACACAGCTTCAATCGACGTACCTGTATCGATCGAGCATGAGGTTGCTGGGGTGCCGATCTCCCAAGCCGAGCAGATAGCCAACCTGAACGCAAAGGTAGCCGTGGGTCGTCAGCGGGCCGAGGAAGGCAGCAAGCGGCGGACACCGCAGAAGAAAGACTTGGCAAGCGTCGGACAGACACGCCACTGCATAAGCATAGCCAGTCTGCTGTGAAGACAATCTGACGGCGTCTTGCCAGGCTGCTGAACGAGCACTTCGATCCCTTCAACCCCTCTTCTCCTTTCAAGCGCTTCCAGACTCTGTCCGGCAACCACCTCGTTTGACCTGCGTAATCCCCACCGGTCGATCCGAGAACTAGAGCCGCGTGGTAGCAGGGCGGCTCACCATGGACATGACGGCGAGGGAGCGCGTGTAGTTGGTGCGGCGGTCGAGCCAGACCTCGGAGGAGCGGCTCTTGAGCCAGAGCACCTTGTTGAGGTCGTTGCCGCTGGTGTTGTCCAGCGCGTGCTCGAACACCTCCACCTTGGCCATCAGCGGTAGCGCGTCGTAGTCGGGCGCGAACTGCAGCATCAGCCGGTGCTCGTGGTTCACGGGGACCTGCAAACATGACATAAAGAGATGCGATTGAAAGGAAGCAAGCCTCAAACAAGAAGCACTCAGAGGAGGCTGGCACGCTTTGTCAATGTGATCCATTAAGAGCTGAAGTACTTACGGAAGAGACCGGACAAAATGGGTAGGAACTAGGGAACCTGCCTCGCATGGAGGAATCTGTCAAAAGAGTTATTGACAGATAAGCACCAAAGCATTTGCAGTTCCTGACAGGGTTGTGAGCGCATGCGTCACCTTGCGTTGGTCGCGGTACTCCCGGATGAGCTGGTGCAGCGTGTCGCAGTTGGGCACCCAGCCGATGAGGCCGCTGTTGGGCGACAGCGGAATCACGCTGTACCGCTGGATCGCCAGGTCCAGCTCCGCGCTCTGCCGAGCATTCGCCAGCAGCGTGTTCACCAGCCCGAACAGCTGCTCAAAGAAAAAAGGGGCCAGTCAGCGGATGCAGGCGATAAGGGACGCGCGGACGAGCTGGCTTCGTGCATGAGACGGAATCTCCGACTTCTCGCTTTGACACGGCTTCCAGTCGTGCAGATAGAGCGCTTCTTGAACGCAGGATTACTTGGCTTGTGTCGAAACGAGATGTCCAACGGCGGACTGTCACGAAAGATCACCGGAATGCTCTTCCAAGCAGCAGGTGACCCAATCTTGACCACCGACTTTGGCCTTGCCAGCACCAACAGCGCACGATAGTCTTGAGGCAAGGTGCTGTTGCATTGGCGCCCCCACCTGCATGACGCGCTCGTCCTGGCGCAGGTCCTCGTGGCCTTTGAGCAAGAACGTATACTCGACGCCGTCGCTGCCGTAGATGGTGCACTTGCGCGGCCGCTGCTTGGACGTGATCACCGTCAGCTGCGCCGCGAACGACGCAATGGTCACCACCGGCGCGCCCGCGCGGTAGGTCCCAGGCACGGCCAGCTCTAGGTTGCGCGCCTGGACGAGCGCGGGGGACACGTACTGCAGCTCGAGCGTGGTCAGGCTGGGCAGCTGCTTGTTGATGCGCTTGAACACGTTGTAGTACAAGTCCCACGCCTGGCAGAACGTGGGACACGCGGGGTCACGGGTGGGTGAACGCAGCAAGGGAAAACAAGCACCCGTTGCAACTAGTTAGATAAAGGTGCAGATCTCGGGTATAGACACACGTTGTTGAGGTACAGCTCAATCGAGTTCTCAATGTACTATCTCAACCAAGCAAAAGAGCAAATCCGAGTGAAGCCGATCCTACTAGATGTCGTTGGCCCCACCTGCGTGATCTCGGCCTCCTTGCCGGTGCGCCGGAAGCGCATGCAGCACTCGTGCGCCTCCTGGAGCTCTCGCCCGTACGCCTGCAGGCACAGCGCGGGCTGTCAGAAACCGAGCGACCGAACCTCGCACAACATAGATTTTCAAAGAACTTCGCTTACATCTACCCAATGAGACCAGCTTTTCAGATACCTGCAGAGTCTTGTCCGGGCGCGCACCTGGCCGAAGGAGATCTCCTTGAGCGTCTCAGCGCCTTGCTTGTCCATCATGGCGTGCAGCGGCTCGAGCGCCTGCAGCATGCCCTCCACGTTGTGCTCGCCGAAGTACAGCCGGCTCGCCTCCTCCAGCGCCTCGTGCCACATCTCGTGCCACAGGATGGCCATCCGGATCAGCTCCTTGCTCACCAGCTGCGCCTGCACGCGCGAACGTACCAGAAAGGGATTAGCCGCAGGGCCGACGGCGCAAATATAAGCTATACACTTCGGAGGGAATAACCCGCAGGAAATACGATGCAAAAGGTTTTGGAGACCGTTGCATGAAGCAAGTTCATCGACGTAGCCAAAGCCTTGTAGCTAGCAAGCACGATAATTTTTGACTAGGTCCGTCTGACTAGGTCCTCCGAGTGTGTCGGTCTGCTACTGGTAAGTCGTTCCTCCGCGTTACTGTTGACCATTGTAAATGGGCTGGAGCGAGACAACTATTCTCTCAGAAGGGACCCTCGCAGCCATGCCTGTTCACCTCCTGAAAACGTACTTTGCCAAACACTAGCTGCGAACACAACGGCCGAGCGGGTGCTACTGTGTGTACCTGCTTGACGAGCGTGGCGCTGTGGTTGCGCACGTTGTCCACGACGGCCTGCGCGGCCTGTTTGCGCGAGCTGCTCATCGACTTGCACGCCACCAGCAGCGGGTACATCAACGCCTGCAAGCACCCACACCGAAAAGTCAGAGTCTCAGCGCATCTTCAAGAACTGGAGATACAAGCTCCCAAGCTCGCTTCAGCTCCCCTTTCGACTTGCCCGGCAGAGCTTTGCTCTAACACCTAACCATAGTTCTAGAGTAACGCAAGCAGAAACGGCAGTCCAAAATGCAGCATACTACATGACTTTGTCCAGTGCCGACCAGACAGGAACAACGTTGAGTTCGCCCAAGCGATTCCAGTGCAGAGTGAAACGCTGTGCCGGACCTGCGGGTGGTGGCGGCCGACCCTGGTGAGCAGCGCCTGGATGAGGTTCCTGACGGCGGGCACGGGCGAGTGAATGCGCGCAATGATCTGCGGGATGACCACCAGCCACGTGTCGATGTTGAGCTGCTGGAAGCCCTCCTGCAGCGCCGCCTGCACGTCTGTCGCCGCGCCGTGGTTGAACCACAGCGTCAGCAGCCGCAGAATGTCCTGCGAGTGAAAGCGAAAGTTGGTCAGGCGATGCAGGAAAGAAGCGTTCTTGTTGAAGGTGATGATTGGAAGGTAACGCAACCACCACTTTGGAGACTAGGCGCCATTGAGAGCCTGCAAGCGGACTGCAGACAGAGCGCACATGCTCGTGGCAGAAGGATCCGTTGAGAGCAAGGATCCGCTGATATACGCGTTGATACGCAGGTCATACAGTCTGGTGCCAACTCTAGAGTACGCACGACCAGGCGCATGCTTTCAGAACTGACCTGACCCCAAAACGAGCATCGAGGCCAACCTCCATATCGTACTTAGGTAGAACGGCTTACCTGCAGGCTGCCGTCCCCGCCCTTTTGGTTGGCGCTCCCCAGCGCGATTGACCGGAAGTACCCGTTCACGGCCGCGACCACATGCCTAGCCGCGGCGGCTGGGTTGTGCATAACTGTGTGGTGGCTCATGACAGCCGTGTTAAAGAGCGCCCACTTGTGCCACGCCTTGGCCCACCCCCGCGCGCTCTCGGTGGCTGCCGCCAGGCTGCTCAGGATGCCGCTGATGGCGTCATCATCCAGGCTGGCGCTCAGCGTCCAACGCCACGTGCCCAGCTTCAGGTAGATGCGCGCCAGGATGGGCACCCCGCCCACCAGGATCCCC